GGAGGCATCTCCGCCGCTTCCATCATTTTTGCAAGACTCTCATCACTCTGTTCTTGATCAGCAAAGTAAGATATCATAGAAAACGGTATTAAACTCTCTGAATTTCCCATTTTCTCCTCAGAAATATCAGCCAACGATTTCCTTTTAACACATTTCACGTGATCACCTGCTACATAAACCTTTAATATAACTCCCCCGTGGTTCACGAATTCCTGTAATACAATTGGTGGTTTAATTCCGTTTAATCCGTCTTTGTTTAAGACTAAATACATCTGATGAGCATCAGCTGTGGCATTGGCGAGCATCGTCTTGGCAATTATGGGAAATTTTAACCCCTCACGAGTGACAACGTCATGCAATGATAATTCAGAATCGTTTGAATTAACGAAAGCTTGCAGGGGAATACCAAGATTCTCCATTTTCAATTGACTGACTACGTCGAGCATGGATACTCGATTGTGTAGTGTCTCGATTGATTCGATTGGGTCGACGATTATGGAAGTTGGGTTTTTGAGGGAAAATTCTTCTAACTGTTTCTTCCATTCTGAGTCGTAGAGTTTGTGAAAGACAGAGTCAAAGGGACCTTGTTCGACCAATGGTTTGTCGATATCGATAGGAATGAGATCAACGCCTTGTTCTTTGGCGTGAATGAGGAGAGAATCTTGAATAAAGCTGCTGACACTTCTGGGTGCAAGAGCGTAACCAATTCGAAACCTCTTTCCAGTTACTGATTCAGACATGGCTGCACAAAGAGGAAGATATATAGAAATGGTGAAACAAGAGAAAGATTTTATTTAAGGAGAGGATTTTAGAGATTGAAGTTTAGTGAGTGTGGTGTATGGCATTGGTATTGGGAGTGTATTTATGGACATGCAGAGGAAGCACAATATGGTAATAAGAAATGGAGTAGTTAACTTTTTTAAAAGCAAAAAACGACATGCATGGCAATCGAAAATAGCTACCTTTGTTTAATGATTGTAATTTGGAATAATAATTAGGTAGCTACGTTGTAAAGTGTAATTAAGTGCGAATAAGCAAAAGAAAAGATGTCAATTGAAATAAAATTAATTTAGCTTTTGTTTAAAGCGAAAGTGCGAATAAGCATATTACAACATAGCAATAGTAGAAAATAGATAGCTTGTTGTTTTTAAACTATAAATAGGAATAAGAAGATGAACAACATGCAATATTCAATAAATGGCTTTGTTCAAAGTGTACCTTGAGATTATCAAAAGGATGAGAATTCACGTGGAGCTGCACTAGGAATGAGAAGATTTGGGAATCCCCACTTTTATTTTCTCTATATGTTTTAAATTGTATTTTGGCCGTCCTTTACTTTTGTCACTTTGCAATGATGCATGCAATAGAGTGAAGAAAGGAAAAAACGAGGCATGCAATAGAAATAGAAAGTTTTTTAAAAAAATAAAAGTATATATAACTGTAAAAATAAGTAAATGTGTGAGAATATGCCCACGCGGTGGAAAGATGCTGTTGATTTTCCAGTCTCGCACCAACGTTAGTTTTCCTCAGGCTGCGTCAAATTTTGTCTAATTGTAATTCGCTCAACATGTGATATGTCAATTTCAGTGCAACTCGTTCAACATATGATATGTCAATTTCAGTATAATTCAAATTAATCCATCTTCAGTTTGAGTTAAATTGACCCTATCAAATTGTTCAAGTAAATACGATTTGATTATTTATTAAAAAAATAAAAGTAAACAACCAAATAAAAAATAATATTCAGTTAAGTTAGACGATGACTCGTTGTTTAGCAGGTTAGCTCAAATTAAACTCGGCATTTGAACCTAACAAAATTTAGATGACTTGACTTGTGACACATTTATTGACAAAATCTATTTTAACCTACCCTTATTTAGCCAAACCTCCACCCAAATTGACACCCCCACTTGGTTTCTATAGAAACTACCAAACCAACCATGTTAAACTTAAACGATGATTTAAGTTTGGTTTAGCCAAATCTTACCTTAAAGATTAAAAGGACATGTTTACCACGAGGTAGGCACGTATACGCAAAAGCTTGTCGCTATAGTATTGAGTAAAGAAATAATTGTTCCCTAATTGAAAAAGAAAGGCCATAGTAAATAGCAGTTTGACTAACCATGTTGTCACTCTATAATTCACTAAAGCAAATCTGACTAACTAAAAATAGTTAATGAAAATTGAACTTGAATATTGTGTATTGTTCTTGGAAAAAGTAAGGAATCTTGAGTACAGTTTGAAATCTATTGTATCTTTCATTAAAACAATAAATTTATATTTAACAACTATGAATATGTGGAGATCGAGAATTATGGTAGAAGGTTAGTAGATAGATGACAGTTTCCCCCTTTCTTTACCAGTAGTATTAGTAGCTCTTTTGTATTTTCATATTCTTAGATCTCTATCACATCATGTTGTTTCGTTCGCTTTAGTTATCGTATCTTACTATTGTTACTATTTGTACTACTTTTTTTCTTCTTTTTCATTTTTTTCTTTTTCTTCTCACCTTTAAAGAAAGATACCACTACTTCGCCTCTTTGTTGGACCGCCGGCACGAACACAGTGGTCTCTAACCAGGACTAGGAACCAAGTCGAATTTGGATCTTGACATGTCGGTGGTTTTTAACCGTAGGCATTTTGCCTGAAAGTTGGTTGGCTTATCATGAATTAGGTGGTCTATCGTAAACAATCTCTCTACCTTCACTAAGTAGGGGTAAGGTCTACGTACACACTACCCTCCCCAGACCTCACATATGAGATTAAACGGGTTTGTTGTTTTAATTCTTGTACCCCCCCACCCCAAAACCCCGCCTTAAAAAAAATTCCATCCAAGACTAGGAGAATGATCGAGCAAAGGTCAACAACTGCAACCATCGATTCCACAATCGGCTAATCAATTCAAAGCAAAAATGATATTCATTCTCAAAGTAGAGGAATATACTAGTTTCATGCACTAACGAACCAAATTTTGTCTCAGCATAGTTGCGTATACGTTATGCTATGCACGATTCTGTCTATCGTGATTTGAACCCAGGGCTCGTGTTCACAAAACCAATTAAGAGTCCATTGGGATGAAAAAGTACAAGAAATTTGTTTACCTCAACTCTCCACAGCAAGCTCTGCAGTTTCTACTACTTTAAGATGCAAAAGGTTTTCCATTTCTTTCCTATTCCTTTAGTGTTTACCCCTAGTTCTTTAGCTTTTCATTGTTGGCAAAACGCAAAACTGTGGAGGACATTACTTAGTCATCCTATACTGACCATTGACCTAGATCAACAAAATCATTCTTTTACAAGAACCACAGAAAAGCAATAATGAAGCAACAAATCTCTCAATAATGATCAGGGATGATGATATATACCAGCTCCTGCCTCACCATTTCTCCAAGCTCCAGAGCAACACATCGTATTTCTATGACCAAAACTTGTTATGGGGAATTGGGTATTTTATAATCTTCCAAAAACTGATGCCAAGTTCTTATGTTGCAGTGAGGTGTGTTATTTCCCATGTAAACCAAGAATGACAAAACTGATACACTAAATTATTTGGCCATTGAGCAATTCTTACTGTTTAACCATTGTAGACGGGCTATTATCTAGATTGGAATCGTGTGTGTGTGTGTGTGTGTGTGTGTGTGAAAGAGAGAGAGAGAGAGAGAGAGAGAGAGAGAGAGAGAGAGAGAGAGAGAGAGAGAGAGAGAGAGAGAGAGACCAAAGGCACTTCTGTGAAATTCTCTTGCACGCCCAGAGATGTAGTTACAAATAACGCAAGCTCACATATTATAATGCATACTATCAGTTCATTTCAGTTACGTAGCTTTTAGATAGATAGCCACGTCTGATGAGCAACTAATGTTACAATAGAAGGAAAGGATACACGCTTAGGAGACGATATCTTTAGCAGATAGATCATGTCTAATGATTCTTATTTTATGTCAATTTGCTTTTTTTTGCGTGATTACATGAGCTAGCTGTTTATAGGAACCCACAGAAGGAGGAAGTACTTTTGGTCAGAACGAATCATATAAAGCTGGGTGACGTCCATTGAGAAGACAAACAAGCTCATACCTCAAAATCATTCATATGTTTTCAGTGACACCAATTTGATACTACATTTTGTATATGTGCTATCAGACTCTGCAAGAATGCCTTTGCATACACAAGATCATGCATCAGTCTCTTGCTAGTTCAAAGTCTACATGGTAATCAAGAGAGTGCAAGATGAAGTGGAACTGATCCAGATATGAGAAGTTTAAAGTACTTTACTGTGATCTTCAAAATGAGACAATACTTGAACTATGACTCAATGCGACTTCCAGGAGTTACTTCAGTTCACAGTTCATTACTTCAATATAGCTCTTCCCTGACAAACGGTTGTACCATTTATTTTAAATCGTAAACTAAACTTATCGCAACCATGTTGAGGAGGAGATAAACATCCATGTTCGAGAACAAGATGTTTAGCATTCCAAGGGTAAAAGCACAAATAAACGCACAACCAAAGATGAGAAGGCCAACATTTTCGAGAGTACATCCCAATTGCAGAAGTTGAATATGAGACTGAATATGGAACAAAGAACCTGTAGTCCTTATCGAGTTTTATAATGTTCATCAAATAGATTCCTAACCCATCAAATAATAAGGGACATGTCTCTTCACTATAGAAAATGAATAAACCATGTGGTAGATTATAAGGCAGCACAACATAGCAGTAGACGATACATGTAGATAATACACGAAAAAATCTAGCAAAGCAATTCCAACTCAGACAACATAGCATGTGGACAATACATGTTTAAACAACTCTCATTCTAAAAATCTAGCAAAGCAATTCCAATCTAGATAATAGCCCGTCTACAATGTTTAAACAGTAACAATTGCTCAATAGCCAAATAATTTAGTGTCTCAGCTTGTCATTCTTGGTTTACATGGGAAATAACACACCTCACTGCAACTTAAGAACTTGGCATCAGCTTTTTAATTGAGCCAGTTAGCATATTATATTTTACCCAAATTTTTGGATTGAACCACAAATCCTTTACACTAGAAACAAAGTCAATAATTATCAGCTAATGTACATTACAAGAACATACAGTCAGTAAAAACAGAAGAGCATATCCAAATAAGCCTGTAAATCATACATTGTTTAATACCCCAAAAATGCCCATGAATTTGATAATTCCACTAACAGTAATTTGAGTGGTATTTTAAATATTAACCTGACTAAGGCAATGATGGAGCCAACGTCCTTTGTTGAGAAGAAGAAGAGGGGGTTTCTTGGCGAAGCTCCTTAATAACAGCAGCCAATGCCTCAGGGTTAAAACCCAAATCGCAGAGGGAAATCAGAACAGAGAGAGTGTGACGATCGAGGCCTGTGTCCAGAATATTTGACATATGAAATACCAGCTCTAGAGAATCACGTGCTGTACGTGCAGCCTCCGGATCCATTTCGACAGTCTGTAAAGCCAAATTCTTGAACATAAGAAGTTGAAAACTAACCAGGATTTAGACAACTAAAATATTTAAATTAGAGTCTAAATGGAATGGGGAACCGAAAATTTACTTGGGAATTTGCTTCCTTTCAGTGAATCGAGGATAAGAACGTTGCTGCTTCAAAATAGCTGCACTGCGAACGGGCAAAGATTTGGGCGGATTTCCGTTTAGACGATATGTATTTGGACTTGGGGACTGGTTTTCTTTTTCTTTTTTTTTGTTCTTTTCTCTTTTACATAAGTAGTCCCTTAAATTATAGAAGTACTCTATTTTTACTAGATTTTAAAGAATTTTGTTGGTGCTGTTAGGATGGACTAAAATTGCTGATTGAACAAACTTCAAACTTAAGTACAGTACTAATAGGGTTAAGAAAATTAATTATTTTCGTAACTTTGGAAATGGAGTGTGTTTTTTTTTAAAAAGCCAAATGGATTTCTAACTTTCCCTGCTTGGTCTCATCCAGATAGTACTCCATTCATTTTAACAGATAGTATTTCATTCATTTTAAAAGGAGAAAAATCAGTTTACGTGGCATTTATGTGATTTTATTTCTCTTTAATTTATTATTAAAAGAATGACTTATTATTTTGCCCTTGAACTATGCCGAAATAGAACAGCTTTATCCTACGTTAACAAAGTTCTAGGTTAACGGCATTAGCATAGGAGGCAAATTTAGAATTCTCATAAAGTTCAAGGACAAACTCTCTCAATTTAACCCTATTGAACTAATGAACTTTCGACTTTCAAAACTTATACGAATCATATTAATCAACTTTGAATGATCTCAAATTTTGCATGTAAGTTCCAAATGATACAATAGACCTATTCTAATTTTCGGAACCAAAATTCGAACCCAATATCTACAAAGTCAACTCTCGATCAAATTTATTAACCTCCCAAACTTTTAAAGATAAATTTGTTTAAATCCTAAACTCTAAACAGTTTCATTTAAATCCAACTGAAGGTAATTAAGTATCACTAACTATGAATAACATATAAAAGAGGAAAAATACATGTCAAAGTACATCAAATGTGAGCATTTTTTATTTCCGTCAAATAAAGCTATTTGAATATATCTACAATTCCTTCTGTAACCATTATCCTTGTACTTGAAAATCCAAAGGGTTAGCACAATTTAAGCAAACCACAAAAGGAAGACCGACTAATTTTGCGTGTAAGCTTGTGATGGAGAAGTAAACTCTCCAATTTTTCTTGTCTACTCAAAACAGGTGGTTGAGCTGCAAAATCCCTTCCCCTTCCTTCTTTTCCTCTACATATCTCTCTCTTTAATTCCATATAATAATTAACAAGCCTTAATTAATTAAACAACTCATCGTTTCCTTTTCCTTTTATTCAATTCCTCTCACTCTCGCATTCATGTATATTACTTTCCTGCAAAGTTGTTATACCTAGGTTACCTACCCAAGATTAATTTATGTGTTTTATTTATTGTTTCCATTTGAAGACAAATGATATTGTAGGACTAAAGTTACAACGAAGAACAACGTAAAATGGCAATGATGATCAAAGATGTAAGCTTGCATTATCCGAATAATTTGTCAAAAACTGAGCAGGAGAATGAAGGGTTGGCTTGTATTCAGAATTTGAAATTTGGATCTTTGAATCCTAAGAAAGGCAATGGGAGAACGATTTTGAAGGTGATAAACGCGAGCAAGAGCAGTTCTAGGAATCAACACACAATTAATGGGAAGAAAATAAATGGTGTGCATGTTGAGGAGTATCCATATTTAGGGCAAAGGGGCAATGATAATAATAATGTAGTAATTGAGAAAACAGAAGGATCATCAAATAATTCACTCTATCTTCTAGGGAATTTTGTGGATGATAGGTTTGTGTATAGACAATCCTTTGTGATTAGGTCTTATGAAATTGGACCTGATAAGACTGCTACCATGGAAACTATCATGAATCTCCTCCAGGTTGGTCCCATCTTCTTTTTAAATTTATTTATTTATTGAATTCTTTTTCATCGTGGCGTTGAGGGAAGCTTGCGCGACCTTTGGCTATTGTTTCATTAGGCGCATGTTACCTCCTACTAGAACAAAATAAGGCAAGTCACTTCACACAGGTTTAGGCGGATGGGGAGAAACCTCTTATTAGTTTTTCTATAGTGGAATTTGAATCCCAATCGAGAGCGGAGCTAGATAGGAATAAGGATATTCATTGAATCCCCTTCATCAAAAAAGTTCTAGTTTAATGAAAAAGGAGTTCAAAGATTGCTTTTGATCACGGGTCAAATCCTAGGTGTGACATTGTAGTGTCTTTTTGAATCCTCTCGTATAAATTTTTGGATTCGCCACTGGCCCTAAATATGTTATGGTTTTCACTCGTTTTATTAAAACTTAAACACACCTTTGGCCTTATGGTGCTTCTTTTAAATTTGTTTTGGTTAAGTACCCATGGAAGAATTCATGTTAAAAATGTCACAATATATTGCAGGAGACAGCTCTAAATCATGTGGCAAGCTCAGGGGTTGGGGGTAATGGATTTGGGGCTACCCGAGAAATGAGTCTTAGGAAACTCATTTGGGTGGTCACTCGCATACAGATCCAAGTTGAACAATATAGCTCCTGGTATTGCTCTTTTTCACTCTTTCCATTCTTCATATTTCATTGTAAGATAAAGGTAGCAATTTTTCACCTTCTGCTTCAAGTTTCTTGTATCTAATGAAGTAATGAACAATTTGCAAACATAAATGAAAAACATGGTCATTCAACTTTGAATGACTTTTATGTGACACAAATAGAAAAGTAACTTTTGTGTTACAAACTCAAAGTTAAATGATTTTTATGTGACAAAAAATAGAAAACTGACTTTTATGTGACAAACTCAAAGTTGAATGATCACCGGTAATATTTACTCTAATACTTGATGGCAAACTTTTCATGGTAAAAGCAAAAGATATTACAATTTTAAATCAAAACTGCAGTCACTAACTGAGGCTTTTCAAAAAATTACAGGGGAGATGTGGTAGAAATAGATACATGGGTAGATGCAGCAGGTAAAAATGGAATGAGGGACTGGATCATTCGTGACTCCAACACTCGCAACATCATCACAAAAGCAACAAGGTATATAAAAACTTGTCAAACTATAAGTTACGGGTTCGAGCCGTAAAATCAGCCAAAGATACTTGTATCACGGTAGGCTGCAGCCGTTTCTGGCCGCTGCGTGAATGCTTAATGCTTCATGCATCGGGCTATCTTTTTTTTTTTCTTTTTAATATGATGAGTATTAAAAAAGATACACTATATATGTGGTATTTTGCAGCACATGGGTGATTATGAACAGAGAAACAAGAAGGTTATCAAAAATACCTGAGCAGGTGAAAGCAGAAGTTCAACCTTTCTACATCAACAGATGCGCAATTCCTACTGAACAAACTGATTCTGAAAAGATTGAGAAACTCACTGATGAAACCGCGGAAATTATCAGTTCTGGCTTAGCTGTAAGAAATTAAAATCATATTCCCCAAAGAAAAAGATGTTTGATATACTCCCTCCGTTTCAGTTTATGTGAACCTATTTACTTTTTGGTCCGTTCCAAAAAGAATGAACTCTTTCTAAATTTGGAAATAATTTTACTTAAACTTACAATTCTACCCTTAATGAGAAGCTTTTATAACCACACAAATACTCTGGGCCCTTTTTGACTTGTTTAGGACCACAAATTCCAAAAATCTTCATTTTTTCTTAAACTCCGTGCTCAATCAAACAGGTTCACATAAATTGGAACAGAGGGCTAGAGTTCATAACCTTAACCAGTCATGTCTGATTTTGATTTTAGCCGCGATGGAGCGACATGGATGCAAACCAACATGTGAACAATGTCAAATATATTGGATGGATTTTGGAGGTAAAATCCTTTCACTAGGGTGTCACGGTTTTAAACGTATATCCAAGTATCCTATAGGATATACCTTATATGCACTGTCCATTTCTTTTGCACTAGACTAGAAGTATATTTCATGTTGTAGCAGGTTACTTAGTTTATTTTTCATTTCATGTACAAGATAAGTAAACTGAGAGTGTAAAATTCTTTAGTGTAGAGAAATTAAACTTCTATCCTATAACGTTTAAAGTTACCACTCATTCATGTTTGAACGGAATGACAACAATCTTTGTCTGCAGAGTGTGCCCATAAATGTATTAGAAGAGTACAACCTAATGAGCTTAACATTAGAGTATCGACGGGAATGTCGCTTGTCAAATGTGCTGCAATCTATGACAAGTATGAGAGAAATAGCAACAGCAGCAGCAGCTAGTGAAAATGATGGAGTTAGTGCAGATAAGGAATGCACACATCTGATTCGCATGGAAGAGGATCGAGCGGAGGTAGTTCGAGCCAGGTCTATATGGCAGACTAAGCAGTGATTTAATTGTATCTAGTGCTATTCTTCACTGTGTATCTTCTTCTTCTTTGTTTCTACGTAATTAATTAGAGAATGTATAAGTTGTTTCTCTTCTTAGATCAGGAGCGGATCCACTTTTTCAGCAATGGATGCTGGTGTCCTATTGCCTTTAACTCGGACAATATTAGTATGTATTCATGCACATTTTGTATTTAAAAAGAAAACATGTTTATTTGTAGCATTTCATTCTGTTCTTACTAACTGTTTTATGGATTCCATTTCTTATCTTCTCATGTGCTGATGGAACTATTAAATAATTTCAGAATTGATAACCATATATTGTGAGGGCATGGAATTTTCATATTTGGGTTGTGTGCAATATTTGGGCTTTAATCAATTTAATGGGTCCATGATAATTTTTGTTTGCCTGTGAGGTTGTGACTATTTGTAGAATATGGCAGGACAGTTCAATTGACAAGACGAGGTATCCAATTAGTGATCACATTTCTGTCACAAAGAAAGAAAGAAAAAAAGATTAGTGGCATTGATCAATGATCATGTTTTTTTGCTTATTTATCTTATAAAAAGAGTTGTTTATATTTTTCTGGTTCAAATGAAACTGTCTAGAGTCCATTTTGGAGTGTTAATTGACTAATTCTTTACATTAAATCTTGTAAGGGGCAGAATTACTTTAAAGTACGAGTAAACACGTGTTACAGTCAAATGATTTAAAAGAATAATAGAGAAATACTGTATACAAAAACAAATCTCGATAAATGGGCAAATACTTAAAGACACTACATAAAAGTAAGGAGAAAATTCAGAATAGCAGAAAGAAAA